TTGAAAATTTATAAAATTTTAAACCGCCAAACCGATTCGCATCCATTCGCTAATCCGCTAATCCGCTCAATCCACATCCGCCGGATTGGCGGACGAATACGGATTTTTTTTTTTTTGGTGAATAACGAATACGGATTGATTTTCTCCAATCCGCCAATCTGGCGGACGAGTGGCGAATTAGAAGTTTCGTGGCCGCAACCGATCCGTGCCCACCCCTAATCTGTATGTGTGGAATATGTGGTCTAGGGTTGATGAAATGGTAGGGATTACAGTGGGTAGTGCTACAAAATATGTGGTTTGTTTGATTGGTGGGTAGGTTTCGATAATAAGGAAATGGTAAAATTTATAGTACCTTCAAATACAATTCTTCTAGGTTTTCTTATATAGTACATGATTGGGTAAAGATGCTTAACTGAGGGTGGAGAAGTCTATAATAATGGTAGCTAGCATTCCTCTTCTTTATTATTTTTCTGGGGGAAACAGGGGGTGTAGTTCGGTTAATAATGAGATTCTATGATTCTTTTTGTGTGTAATGATGGTACAAATGTTGAAGAATGATCAATGACAGCAACTGAATTGATTTGTAATTTACGTTTTTAGCCATGAGTCATGTTATGTACAATTAATCTAACTACACCCCATGTTGTTTTTGCTGTTGCTGCTGCACTTAGTTGTTGTTGCACTTAGTTGCTGCTGCTTTTTGTTTTGTTTAGAACGCTTTTTTACTGTTGTCTTTTGTTTTGTTTTGTTTAGAACGCTTTTTGTTGATCATATTATGTTATGTAAATCCCATTCTATCAATTCCACTAGTCAACCACCCCAATATCTAATTTGGGAACAAAGCAAAGGCATCATTAATGCCATAAAGTCCATGACTAGTGATAACCAGAAACAAATAAGTCAACCATGCATTTAAAGGTTTTGAAAAGATGAACTAAGAGTATGTCCACCTTTTAGTTAAAAAGCAGTGTCATGTGTGGTGATAAATGTATTAAAAACAGAATTCTTATTTAACTATCACATAGAATTGAACGAAGAGCATTGGGGAAGGATAGAGGCTAAGAATACAGGGAACATTTCAAGTGTCATTCCTCTTTTTTTTATATTTGTTTTCAAAGACTATTCAAGTGGAGCATCACTTTTCCATTGAAATAGAATTGATGTTGGTAGTCAAAATGCTAATTTAAAACTTCCCAGTATTGATTGATGTGGTCCAGTAATTGTCTTATAAGCTTTTACACTACAATGGAAACATTTATAAATCAAGAAAAGATAAATCCCATCATCTGCCCATATTCAAATAAGCTTAATGCTTTCGTACTTGCTTCATCATATTCAACTTGAGTCATCAGCCTACATTGAACTATCTAAAAGGAAAAATCAATCATAAGAAAAACATGCAGCACATAGTGACGAGATCAAAACAACATCCAAACAAATTTGCTGAAATTTTCGGACAAACAAATATTCATGTTTTAAGTCAAAAAAGTGGTTATTCATCATCAACTCTTTACTTATATTCTTCCTATTTTTTTCTTTTTCTTTTTCTTTTTGGTAACTGGTAAGTCTCTCTTTCTCTTTGCTCTCTTATTTACTCTCCAGATTTGTTTCTCTTTTCTCTTTTATATACTCTCCTTTTGCTCTCCACATTATGAGCATTTTTTTTAATATTATTTTTTGATCTTGGAGTGCAATGACCACAGTTGTTTGTTTGTATTAATTTGGACTAACTAATATTATTTTGTGTTAGATTGTGGTTAATTCTTACTAATCTCTCCTGTCTGTCTGTCTGTCTGTCTGTCTCTCTCTCTGCGTTAACATTTTCATCATTTGAAGCTGGTTCTTTGTTTTTTCCTTCATTTTTCTATGCTTCTTATCTCTCAATTGTCTAGTTTTTACTGATCTATTCATATGTTTTTGGTTTATTGATAATCCATGTCTTAGTGTATTAATTTGGACTAACTAATATTATTTTGTGTTAGATTGTGGTTAATTCTTACTAATCTCTCCTGTCTGTCTGTCTGTCTGTCTGTCTCTCTCTCTGCGTTAACATTTTCATCATTTGAAGCTGGTTCTTTGTTTTTTCCTTCATTTTTCTATGTTTCTTATCTCTCAATTGTCTAGTTTTTACTGATCTATTCATATGTTTTTGGTTTATTGATTTATTTCCATGTCTTAGAATCTCTCCATCTATTCCTCAGAAATTTCATATATTTCTATAGGTGAACTTATTTTATTGGGGGGGAGGGGAACTCTAAAAACTAAAAACTAACCGGATTATTATTTTTTTTTTCTCACAGTTTCAGAAATATTAACAAATTTGTTGAATTCACAAAAAATAATATTTCATCTTCTTCCAAATGTAACACTTTGCCAAACGTTTAGACTTTTGAAGTGAAATGTTATATCTTCGCTATTAGTTCAAAGTTATCAATTCATTCCTCATTCTTTCTTTTAGGTAGTGCTCTGCTATCACCTTTCTGAAGAAAGGATTTGATTCACGAAACATTGTTCGAGAGAGGTAAATTGTCGCAGAGAAACTATGATCATCGTGATAAGTGAATTTTGATGTTATAGAATTATATATTTTTTTTGATTTATTGACTCAAAATCACATACGATACATCAACCTATTTTTCTTTTTATATTATTTGGTGTATTAAGGAAATGAATAATTATCAATATCTTTTTTGCAATTGAGCATTACAAGATTTCTTTTTTTCCTGTTTTACTCAACTAAAATCAGTAACAGGTTTGTGCTTTTTATTTTTGTGTCATCAGATCATAATGAAGTCTGATTGTAAAAATAAATACCAACTAAAATAGATCATAATGAAAAACAAATAAATAAAACAAAAGGAGACAAATAAAAGCCTAATTTCTCAACAACAACCAAAACAAAAGTAAGGGAAGCTAATAATCAGGAAAACAAAATTTAGAAGTTTAAAATCTGTTGCCCCTGTCATATGAGCTCCACAAGTGTATTTACCCTACCATGAAAAGTAACATCCTTAACAACTTTATTAATACACATTGTGGAATGATAAAAATTCTTCAACATTTTTTACTTAGGAGACTGTTATTACTGTGGCAAACTGGCTGGTCTGCAATCCTCTTTCACATATATGGGATTCAACTTATGTGTGAAAAGGAGATGTAAATTACAAGTATTTTGGAAGATTTCCAAATTGGGATTGGTAACTCTTGTTTAACAGTTCCCTTTTGTTAGAGTGTATTTGACATGAATCATGTAGTAGTGAAGAGAATATTGATCTTTGCATTAGTGGTAGGCATCAGGAAAAAAAAATTCATTGAGGAAAACAAGAGGCTTAGAACCATACTGGTATTCTAATCAAAACCACCCAAGGCTAACAAATCAATAGACACAAAAAACACACTGCAATAGATCAAGAAGCAAGTCCAGACCAGAAGCAATACTGCTCTTGCTGCTCCTCCAGAACAAGGTCAATACCCAAACACACCAGCCACTACCCAAGCACACTACTGCTGCTATCCAGAACCAAGCACCCTGCTACTACAGCTGCTAAGCCGAACATCTTCTAACCTCAGCAGTTACACCCAATAAACAATCCACACTAGCAGCACAATAGCAACAAAAACACAGCAACACCCTTTACCTCAACAGTTGCAGCACCTGATTCAAATTGATCACAAAATCATGAACCGAGTACTGCACAGCTACAATACTGCTCTTTGCCCAAAAAGCTATCCTTGACTTCACAATATCCACCAAATTAGCAAAATTGGGATGGCCCCCATTAAACACCACTTCATTCCTGAACTTCCAAACTAACTACAGCATCACTAGTGGCACCATATTCCAAATTTTTCTCTCATTCATCTTGAGCTTCACCCCATCCCACCATTGTAGCAAGGCTTCAATGGAACTAGGGACTACCCAACACACATCCCACCAGCTCACTAATGTAAACCAGACTCTCCATACCAATGGGCAATGGAGTAAAACATAGCTAACAGATTATACTTCAATTCTAACCTTCACTACTTCACCCAACTCAACACAAGAAGGCTGCTCATTAGCCTGCCAACCTTCAAGTAGCTTACAAATAGTATACATCAGCAAGCATGGTGCATAGCTGTTTTGCTGATGCTGCTTTGCTGCTACTATAAAGTTGTTTTTGCTACTGTTGCAAGTTACTGCTTGTTTGGGAGGCAAACCACCTAAATGAGTTGGGTTACACCTCACCATTCCACTCCCAAACTGGCACAGTTATGTAGTTAGGATTAAGTACAGTTAGGTTGAGTTGGTTATAGAGTAGTTAGAACTGTAGTTCAATTAGATGGTTATGCAATATATGTATGTAAGTTCGTGTACTCTGTATGGTTATGCAATATATGTATGATAGTATTGAATAATGAATGCCTAGATTGTTTAGACTTTATGGAATTATTTTTTTTTCTTTTTTTAACTTTGCAATTATTCATAGATCAGATAAATTATTTGTTATAAGATCCTGCATTTATTTATTTTTATTTTTTTTTGTTGCAAGTTTGCTTGAGGCATTTAATGTTCTATCAAAGAAATTGTGCCTTCTCAATAACATTTCTTTGAGGTTATCAATTGTGTAGCCTCTAGTTTATTGTTTTATATTCTAATTTCTTTGTTGATATAGGTATTCAAAAATACATTTAATATGGACAAATCTTGGATGTTCAAGGATAGAAGATCAAAAGACTATGAGAATGGAGTTGAACAATTTCTTAATTTTTCTATGATCCATGCAAGTGATTTTCAATCCATACGTTGTCCTTGTAAAGTCTATGGAAACTTGAGAAGCCAACATATTTGAGAGATTAGAAATCATCTCTTTTTCAATGGTATTGACCAAAGTTATACCACATAGATATGGCATGCAGAAGTAGTCACCAGTGGGACATCACCATGTTTAAATGAACAAGATTTTTCCCAACAACAATTTGACACGTCTCCTATAGACAATGTAGTTGAAACAATAGAAATGGTTCAAGATGTATACGATCATTGCACGGCTGATCCTAAAGTGTTTAAGAAATTACTTGAAGATGCGGAAAAGGCATTGTATCCGGGTTGTACAAAGTTTACCAAGTTATCTACATTGGTTAAACTGTATAACTTCAAAACTACGTATATCCTATTTCACATTGGGTTTTCAGATCTACTGACGTTGTTGGGCGATATGCTGCCAATGAACAATGAAATACCATCATCCATGTATGAGGCTGGGAAGACGTTTACTGCATTGGGAATGGAATATGAGAAAATACATGCATGTCCATATGATTGCATACTCTATAGAAAGAAGTACAAAGATGCAACTCCATGTCCTACATGTGGTACATCAAGATGGAAGTTGAAAAAAAATTCTACTGAAATAAGAAAGGATGTACCTGTAAAAGTTTTATGGTATTTTCCATCTATCCCAAGGTTTCAAAGGATGTTCCAATCAGCAAAAATAGCGAAGGATTTGACATGGCATGCTCACGAAAGAGATTATGATGACACAATGTGTCACCCTGCGAATTCTCTATCATGGAAGTTAGTAGACCACAAGTGGTCAGATTTCGCTGCAGAGCCAAGAAACCTTCGATTAGCTATTTCTACAGATGGAATAAAGCCATACAGTTCCCTTAGCAGTACGTATAGTTGTTGGCTAGTTATAATGATTACCTATAATCTTCCACCGTGGTTATGGATGAAGAGGAAATTTATGATGTTATCATTGTTAATATCAGGTTCACAACAATCTGGTAATGACATTGATGTTTACTTGGCACCACTAATTGATGATTTGAAAATGTTGTGGAAGGTAGGTGTTGAAGCTTATGATGTTTATAAAGAACACTTCAGGCTGAAGGCTATATTGTTGTGGACAATTAATGACTTTCCAGCATTAGGCAATTTGAGCAGTTGTACTGTAAAGGGGTATTATGCATGTCCAATTTGTAGTGAAGGAACATGTTCTCACAGATTAAAATATGGTAAAAAGAACACATATGTTGGCCATAGAAAATTTCTTCCACGCTACCATCCATATCGGAGGCAAAAAAAGGCTTTTAATAGTGAGCAAGAGTTTGGATTAGCTCCAATACCATTAACTGGGAAGGAAATATTAAATAAGGTTGAGGGGCTTGTAACCATTTGGGGAATGAAAAATAAAAAAGCATTAGATGTTGGTGGTACAAATTGTTGGAAGAAGAAATCATTATTCTTTGATCTTGAACATTGAAAGTACTTACATGTTCGACATAATTTGGACATTATGCATATTGAGAAGGCTGTGTATGAGAGCCTCATTGGTAAATTACTTAATATTCCAGGAAAAACAAAAGATAGAATTAATTCTCACCTTGATCTTGTAGAAATAGGTTTGCGTGAAAAATTGGCCCCACAAATTGGGGAGAAGTGAACATACTTGCCTCCATTATGTTACACATTGTCTTAGGAGGAGAAAAGAAGAATATGTACAACATTATTGGAATTGAAGGTTCCAGAAGGATACTCTTCAAATTTGGGAAGTTGTGTATCAATGCAAGATTTGAAACTTTATGGTCTAAAATCACATGATTGTCATGTATTGATGCAACAGTTACTACTTGTGGCAATACGATTTGTGTTACCTAAGCATGTGAGACATGCCATTATCAGGTTATGTTTCGTTTTCAATGCTATTTGTAGCAAAGTGATAGATGTGGGAAAATTAGATGAGATTCAAAAAGATCTTGTGGTCACATTATGTTCGCTTGAAAAGTACTTGTCACCTCCGTTCTTTGATATCATGGTGCATTTGACGATGCATCTTGTTAGAGAAGTTCGACTTTGTGGACCAATTCACTTTAGATGGATATGCCAATTTGGGAGGTTCATGAAGATCTTAAAGGGTTATGTTCGTAATCGTGATTGTCCTGAAGGTTGCATTGCTGAAAGTTATATTGTAGAAGAAGCTATTGAGTTTTGCACAGAGTATTTATTTGGAGTGGATGCAATCGGGATTCCTTCTAATAGGAACAAGACAGTTGATGATGATATAGAAACTGGAAGGCCTTTATCAAGTGGTTATGTTGTTATAGTTGATCGTAATGAATGAGAGCAAGCACATCGTGATGTGTTATAAAATACAAGTGACATTTAACCATACATTGAGTAAGAATATTTCATGTACATTTTTTTACAATTGTATTCTCACAAGTTAAAGATTTATCTCATAATATATTGCTATATTCATGATTTGATAGAGAGCATATGGCTTGGTTGAAGCTAAAATATCATCGTCAATCACGAAGTCAAAAATGGCTATAAATTGAGTATAATAAAACATGTATGTATTGGCTTCGTGAAAAGGTATTAGGGTAATTCAACATTTATCTTTTTCTAATACCGAATATTATTAAGAAAAAATTAGCCAACTATTTAACCATATATAGGTCTCAAAGGAATTAAGTAGCCAGAATAATATCTCAAATAACCTGAAGTGGATAGCACAAGGACCTCGATTGGATGTTATAAAATTCCCTAGCTATATCATCAATGGTTGCCGTTATCACATAAAAGATCGGGATAACTCATGAGTCAGCCAAAACAGTGGAGTTATTTTAGTGGCAACAACAATGCAAGTGACAGGCTACAAGGATAAGAACCCAGTATTTACGGATATGAGTTACTATGGAGTTATTACTAAGATATGGCAACTTGACTACTTGTAGACACCCCATTTTTGACCGACCTTAAGACTCAGACGTCACCAGTTGAGCGCTCGGTGATGTTGCATATTGTGCTCGTTCTAAGGTTTCAGAGTCTCGGCTGCGAGCCTTGCCTCCGGACTTCGGAGCTCTTTTGTGCTTTGCCTCGGTTTGCGAACCAGGTCCTGTTTTCCCTATTTTCTCTTCCTAAAGGGAGGGAGAGGTCTCGTAGACCATCTCTCAGTGGCCGTAGGCTACCTTTCGTGGTCGTAGGCCATTTTTCCCATTTGGAGCCCGGTTTTCGGTTTTTCGAGCCGTCGGTCATGTGCCTCGGTTCGGGACCACTTAACTACCTCCATTTGCTCCAGTTTTTGGCACACATCTTATTTCCTCCCTTTAGAGGGACACTGTGGCCCGGGAGACCACCTTCGTGGTCATACGCCACTTCCGGTGCCTAACAGCCTGTTTTCGGGGCCCCAAACCGCGCGTTTTGGCCTCTGAACCTTCGTTTTGCATCCGTTTTGGTCCATTTTTGGTAGGGATCCTATTTTCACTGTTAGGGAGGGGGTAGCATGGTGGCCGGCCACCTTTTCCCCGGAAAAGCCAGTTTCCTCATTTTCTCTCTCCAAAAGCCGATTTTTCTGACATTAGTTGGTTTTTCTCACTTTTGAGCCACATTTTCTGGCTTTTCATACCACCACTGTGTTCTACTCATCTGGGAGGCCACCTTTCTAAGTAGGCCGACCAGCAATTTTGTTTGACCCTTTTGACCCCTGGTCGGCCGACCATGGGAAGTGGCCGGCCGGCCACCTTAGCTGGTCGGCCAGCTTTCTGCTTTTTGCTCTTTTCAAGTGCAACACAACTGTGCCAGCTGTGGGGCACTTGACCCACTGTCCGAGATTTTGAGCCTCTTTTTGATCCTTTTTAATTGGTTTTTCCCCCTTGCTTAACTTCTTGGAGAAGCTTGAATCTTTTGTCAAGCTTCTTGAGGAAGCTTGACCATTTTGGTCAGGCTTCCTCAAGAAGTTTGACCTTTTTGGTTAAAGCTTCTTTGAGAAGCTTTGACCACCTCTCTTGGCTTCTCCAAGAAGCCTTACTTCTCTCCCTCTATATAACCAACCCCCCACCTCATTTTCTGAGGGTTAGAAAAATTTGGCCAAGGCAAATGCACTCCACCCTCCATAGCCTTCTTCTCCAAAGCTCCAAACCCTAATTTTCTTGGCCATTTACACTACAACACTATTTACTTACTGTATTGGCTTCCGCCAGGCCCTGTACTCTGTTTTACTGTACTACTGTTAAGCAGGCCTTCGGTAATCTTGGATTACTGGCCGGTTACGGTGCTAAACCCATAGGGCCGGGTTTGGGTCGTGACAATTTCCCTCACTTTTGCATTATTTTGCTCTATACTTTAGCTCCATTTTCAAGCATTTCTGGGCTTCAACCCAAACTAGAAAGTGTCTTATTTTGATCCCCTCTCCAACTTTGTTTAAGGGCACTTTGCTGTTTGAGGTCATTTACGTCCCCTTATCCTCTATCTCTCTTTTAGGACTACTTTTGCATCCTATTTTAGCCTTACTTGTGAGGATTTTCGAGATTTTCTATAAACTGGAAAAAGTCTTGTTTTCACATCCTCTTCAAGTTTTGTTAAGGTCCCATTTCTGTTTAGGGTCATCTTCCCCCTATGCATGCTTCATCTTTTCATGATTAAGGCTATGCATTAGAGCACTTGCATTGGCCATGGTTTGGCCTCTTAGCCACTAAAATCCAGTGGATTTTCAGTGGCTTTGATGCATTTTTCAGGGCCAAAATTAGAGGGGGGTGACCCCCTCTCTCCTTGTCTTGTTTGGGGGTCTTTTGGGCCTTCCAAAGGGACCCCATTTTTCATGCATCGAAGTCTAATTTCAGGCCTCATTCTGTGAGTTTTAGGGTCTGCCTTAGGTCTGTCCAAGGCCCTTTTGATCATATTTTATACCTACAATGCATGTGTAGAGCAATCCCATCCAAGGCTCTTCAAAGGAGCCTTTCTTTGCATGTTTCCTGGACTGATTTCAGGGCCTATTTGGTGAGTTTTAGGGCTGTCATAACTTATTTCCAGAGTTGGTTTTGCCATGCTTCATGTCTATCTTGTATGTGCTTAACAACCCCTTACAAGGCCCTCCAAAGAAGCCCCTCATTTTTACATGCATTGGCTGCATTTCAGTGATTATTTGGGCATATTTTGGCATATTTTATTCACTGTTTTTGTCTGGTTTGATGAGTTCTCATTTACTTCATATACATGCCATGTAAACCATGCTTGCTAGCCAATGTTGCATGCTATTTTAGTTCATCATGTTAGCATCTTTTGGCCACGCTCTAAACTAGAAATGTGCATGTTTTGGGACTGCCTTGGCTCTGTATTTTGACTTCATGATCAAATAATGCTTGATTTGTATACTTGTGGTTCAATGCATGTGCCTAGTATTGAGTTTCGGGGCTTATTCCATGCATCGGGTGCCATATTTCTATGTTTCGGGATCATTTAACATCATGTTTTAGTACTGGAAATCACATGTTCATAGGCCATCTTTCATCCCTTTCCATGCTTTGGTAGAGTGGCATTTGATGCCTTAGGTTCGGTCTTCGGTATGCGTGCATGTGTGCACGCATTTCGGTTGTCTCATTTTCATCTAATGGCTACTGATGTGAGTGCGGCGGAGGTCCACTCATGTTGGTGTAAGTCCATTATGCATTGTGTATGCCTTTTCAATTCATAGCATTGCGTATGCTATGTTGTATGTTAGTCGCATTGTGTATGCCATCTCATTTGCATTGTGTTTGGGATAGGAGTTAGCCCGAGCAAGGGAAACGAGAGACGTTTCGTACTTCGAGTGACAGAACGTGTCTCAATTCCCTGTCGCCGACACTCCGAATTACCTATGATGGAGTTTAGGTCTTGTTGTGTTTTCATGTGCATTCATCTCATAGTGAGTCGTGCAATTCGGCTCCTCGGCCATCATGCATCGATATACGTGATTGGTGGGACGAGGATCGAGGACTACACTCTCCGAAGAGTAGTCATGCATACATATGTGAAAATACTTTGCTATGCCCCTTTGTTGCTCTCTGTTGTAGTAAATCAGAAATCAGCGGCCTTCTGGAGCATTGCGCAATCTTTTGAAAATAATTGCAAACAGAGGCAAACCGGGGCATCGCAATGGATTTCCGCGCCAGGCAATTCAAGCATGCATCATTCCACCATTCGGAACAGAGTTGAGGCAGTCCATAGGCTTACATGCTAGTTTATCCCTTTCCTAGATTAACTTGTTAATTAATTAGGATTTTGTACTTATTTCGGACTGTATATTATTTATTCGGACCATCTGCGTGAGGGCAATGCTGTAATAAGTGTGCGTGCGTGTGATGTATGTCTTCCAACCCCACGTCTTTCTCCATTTTATTTACCTGCTTATGATGGTTAGATTAGGGCATGTTTCAATTAGCATACAGTATGATAGCATGTTTGCATTCATTCATCTGTCTTGCATGCACCGGGCTCGGCGCATCG